CGCACTGAACCTAAACATTAAGTTGGAGAGGTCTCGTCTAATGAAGTCAGCGCTCCGTCCCCCTCGTGCTCTAATCCAGAATCCCGAAACCTTTCAGCTCGAGTTACAAAACCGCTTTCAGTGCCTAGAGAATCGCAATGCAGTGGACGATATGAATGACAAGCTCGTGGAAACTGTCCATGCGGTCGGAGCTAAGTTCTGCAAGACCCGCCGCAGAAGAACACGAAAACTCTCCGGTCACACTCTTAATCTCATGACTGTTAGATGGGAGATGAGGCTGCAATCTTCAACAGATTTGACAGCATACAGGCAACTGAACAGACAGATCTCCAAATGCATGCGGCGAGACTTACGCCACTTTAATACTGCTCGTTTTAAAGAAGCGATCGAGCGGAACCAGGGCTCCAAAGTATTTGCCAGAGATCTGTCTGCCAGAAAGAGCTGTCAAGGCTGAAGACTAAGTGTGGCAATATCGTTTCCGGGACACCTGAGATTCTGAGTGAGATTGAGAGGTTCTATGGGCAGCTGTACACATCATCATCATCAACACGCAAGTGTGAGTAACGATCCAAGAGCAAGTCTTATCCGACACTATTCCGATGATATCCCGGACGTCAGTCTGAGCGAGATTAGAATGGCTTTCAAGCACCTTAAAAACGGCAAGACCCCGGGCGAGGATGGAATTACAGCGGAGCTTCTGAAAGCGGGTGGAACACCGGTACTTGAAGTCCTTCAGAAGCTCTTCAATTCCGTCCTCCATGGTGGCACTACTCCGGAGGCGTGGAGCAGAAGCGCGGTGGTCTTGTTCTTTAAGAAAGGCGACAACGCTCTCTTGAAGAAATACAGACTGATTTCCCTTCTGAGCCGCGTCTACGTGCTGTTTTCGAGAGTCATTACGAATCGTCTCGCACGCAGACTCGACGACTTCCAGCCTCCCGAACAAGCCGGTTTCCGAAAAGGCTTCATACCAAAGACCACATACATACCCTGCGGCAGATTGTACAGAAGACCGAAGAGTACAATCTGCCACTTTTCCTGGCATATGTGGACTATGAGAAAGCCTTTGATTCCGTCGAAATTTGGGCGGTGCTACAGTCCCTTCAGCGGTGCCAAGTTGACTGTCGGTATATCGAAGTCCTGAAGTGTTTGTACAGTAGGGCTACGATAGCTATCCGAATACAGAACCGGAGTTCGAAACCTATCCAACTGCAGAGAGGTGTAAGACAGGGTGATGTTATATCCCCGAAACTCTTCACCGCTGCGTTGGAAGACGTTTTCAAGCTATTGGACTGGAAAGGATACGGTATTAACATCAATGGCGAGTACATCACTCACCTTCGATTTGCCGACGATATAGTCCTTATGGCAGAATCGCTGGAGGACCTTAGCACTATGCTCAATGACCTCAATGGTGTCTCCCAACGGATAGGTCTTAAGATGAACATGGACAAAACAAAGATCATGTTTAATGTCCATGTCACACCTATGCCGGTAGTTGTTGGGAGCACTATGCTCGAAGTTGTTGACAAGTACGTTTACCTGGGACAAATAGTCCGACTAGGTAAGTTCAACTTCGACCGAGAGGTCATACGACGGATTCAACTCGGCTGGCAGCGTTCGGGAAATTACGACACATCTTCGCGTCAGGTATACCTCAATCTCTGAAAACTAAAGTGTATAACTAGTGCGTGTTGACAGTGATGACTTACGGATCTGAGACGTGGTCCTTCACTGCTGGCCGTATGAGGACGCTCAAGGTTGCTTAGCGAGCTATGGAGAGGGATATGCTCGGAGTTTCTCTGCGTGATAGACTCAGAAATGAGGATATTCGCAGTAAAACCAGAGTGACCGACATAGCCCAACGGATTAGTAAGCTGAAGTGGCAATGGGCCAGCCACATAGCTCGAAGAACCGATAACCGATGGGGAAGAAAGGTTCTCGAGTGGCAGCCTCGTACCGCTAGCCGTAGTGTAGTGCGACCCCCCCCCCTACTAGATGGAGTGACGACCTGGTAAGACATGCAGGAAGTCGATGGATACAGGTGGCTCAGGACCGTGCTTTGTGGCATTACTTGGGGGAGGCCTGTGTTCAGCAGTGGACTTGTGAAGGGCTGTAATGATGATGATGATGATGATCATTTTAAATATATTAATATCTGAGTTTTACTTATAAGTTTATTGATGGATATATCGAAAATCAGATATTTAAAAAAAATATCAACAGTTTTAGTTTGAACTGACCAGTTGAAATGATTATTTTAACTGACCGTGTGTTGCCACCATAACAGTAGACGGTGCAGAGGTACATTCTCTCCTTCCAGGACACCTCTGATAATAAGGTGAAATGCATCAAAACTTGAATTATACCGGCTATCTTAACTCCAAACAAACAAGACCATAGGTAAATTTAATATTTGACTATTGCAATGGAATACCTCGCAGCCTGTTATCGTCGCGCTTTACGTGCCCTTCAAATTAAATATCGAGGCACACAGCTGCTTAATGGCAGAAAAAGTACAAAATTGAACTGAAGTCCATGTCAAAACTTTTTTTTAAATCTAGATTTTTTAAGCACCTACGAATGTAATAATCTACACCGATTCGCAAAAATAAGACCTTAAAAAAGAACCGGAACTCGGAGATTTATTTTGTTGTAGTTTGGTTATTATATTTACATTTATAATAAAGTAATATATTTTCAAAGAGTGAAAAATTTATAAAATGTTATATGTTATAAAAGTTCTAACAAATTAACGTAAGCAGCCAGTCGACTTGAAGTACAGTAAATATTTACCAGGTATCATTATTCTTATTTGGATCTATAGGATGGATATCTAGTAAGATTTTAACGAAATTTACACTTACTTAAAAAGTTTTTCATTGAAAACAGGTAAAAAAGAACAATTTTTTACGATAATACCTGAGTACAATACATAAAAATTAAAATAATATTAAAGTTAATTTCTGATCGTTTTAAGATAATTCTGTTTAGTTATTTCAATTAACAATAATATTTTTTTTAATCTCAATAATAATAACATAGTAAAATTATAAAAGATGTTTGCTATTGTTGATTTAGAATTTTTTTTCTACATTTTTTCACAATCATATGAACATTATGAGTCGTGCACTTTTGAATTTTCCAAACTATTTTTTATTGACGTTTGACATAAAATTATCGGAAAATTAGAATTATTAGTATTAAGTTTATTTGTGAAAACTTGTGTGTATTGAAAATACTTATTAAAATTACTTATAAAATTGACGAAAATTGACATGAGCGCTTTAGGCATTTAGACACATTTGGATTTACCTTTATCTTTAATTTGTTAGAGGTTGTTGTATCATACTTAGGAATGATATAGAATTTTTTGGATTTAATCAAGAAGGATTTTCAATTTTTATTATTATTAAACCCATTTAAACGGGCTTCTATTCAGATGAGAGGCCTAAAACTTACTTAACATGGTTATAGAAATTACTATATTGTCTTTTTTATTAAAAGAAAACATAATATATTAATCTTTATAAAATTTGTTTTAGGCCCGATTTTTCTTCTTTGATTCTGATAAAAGTTATTTAGAGGATAATATAGAATAATAATAAAAAGTTTAATTGTGTCACTTTTGTACTCAATCAGGATATAATTTATTTGATGGAAAACTTTTCCGATGATTTAAAAATCAGTCTTTAGTTACATAAACATTCTATGTAAAAGCTACAAAGCTTCACATCTTATGTACTTAGTTTCTAAGGAGATAGAGCTTGTACACAAGTGATGTATTATCTTAAGGAACAATAAAATCTCGATTCTTCTTCTCAAGATTTGTCACTAACGCATGCGCGAGGAAAAAGCCACGCCTTTCCCTGAAAGAGATAACAATGGATCGCAACATTCAGCCCACTGAAATCTGATTCATAATAGATTGTTAGTTAGATAAGTTTTTATTTTAATCAAAATAAGAGCTTTTTGATGTCATGATTCAGAAATAAAATATTAAAGCATGATTAACGAATATTTAAAATATATGTATTCATATTTAATATCTAATCTATTGAAATTTTTATATATTTACATATATATTTTGGTGATTGATTATTTTATAAAACTAATAAAATTTTTGCAAAAAAGTAAATAATCAGAGTATTCCCTGCCATAAATAAAATAACTTTTCTTACATATTAGGAAAAGGTTTTCCTACGATCTGAGGTTTTAAAAAAATCTTTATTAATATAAAAAGCAACTACATTTTATATCACATTATCATATATATGATATGGATTATATATTAAAAGATAAATATTCATTTCAATTTTATTGCTTTAAAGTTGAGTACTAAAAAAGTTCTTAAATTTTAAACAAAGAGAATTAATTAGAGCTACACTGCTTAGGCCCGTGTTGTTCTCGGATTATAGTGTATAGACTTGAACAAAAATGAATGTGCCAAATCTTTTACTGTCTACCATGTCGTAAAAAACTACTTATGTGATGTTAGGTTTATTTTTATTTATTTTTTATTTTATTCTTTATTGCACCAAAGATTTTGTACAAAAGGTGAGCTTAATCCCATATGGCATTCTCTACCAGTTAACCTTAGCTAGAACAGAGGGTGAGTTACGGGCAATTAAGTTGTCATAATTAAATTAAATTCAAATATGTATGTGCAGAACATACATAAAATATATAGGTTTGGGATTGTGTAGACGATGGGCTTGCCACCTATCACTTCTTTTACGATTTGGTCCTGCTTGCTACTCTTTAGACTCTGCATGCCCCCTCGGGGATAACAGGCGTGACGTTATATAGAGTACGTTAGGTAGAGGAAAAAAAGTCATTAAGCTAATTTTACGAGATCTTTTTATTTAAAACAATAATTGAACATGATGACGTTATATCTAGATATTAGATTGCTAAATAGTAGATAGTAGAGTGCTACTTTAATAAAATACAAATTTTATCCCTTAAGCAAAACTCTTGTAGTATATATTAACAAATGGAAAATGATGGAAAACTTCAAAGTATGTTTGAAGTTTTAAATATTTTTAAAGTCTGCTCTACCATCCAACGTTAATTGGTTTTCTACAAGCAACTCAAAACTCTCTTTCAGCTTACTTTTTCATCACGCTTCCACAGATAGCTAAAATATCTTACTTTTTTTCCTGGCAACTTCAATTCATTATACATTAAAACTACGCGAAGTTCCTGTTTTAATTAAAGATATCCACTGAAACCCGCCCCTGTAGCCTTAACTCAGAGAGACGCGGTTGGTATATTTTTTTTCAGCACACTCATTCCCGCCTCTGTGACCCTCCCAAACAAACAACTAAGTACTTTAAAAACAATGTAATAGTTCTTCGATTTAGCTCTTTACGCTTATAGTTTTAAGCTCCAAATTACTTGAGTGACTTAAGAGCTTACGCCTCTGTTGAAGTGTGGTAAAGCATTCAGTTCATTTCATGAAAATGGAGACAGGCAGGCGAGATGTAGATTCAGTTGACCGCGGGCTTTCGCGAGAGCTGACGTTTATGGGAGTGATTTGCTTCAGTACGCATTACAACACGGAAAACTTTACGTTCAATTCACGATATCTTAAAGTCGTAAACTGAATGTGGGTGTAATAAGTGAAGTTTTTAATTTTTTTTATACATCAAAGGTGTTTAAATTGTAAAGCCAAGGTACGATTAATATTTAATTTTACTTCGTATTTTAATAAATAAAGTATTTTAGTGTCTATAATGTGTAGATTAAGAAGGTAAGACATTTTGAAGTCGATGGATGCGGGTGGCACAGGACCGTGCTTTGTGGCATTCCTTGGGGAAGTTTATGTCCAGCATTGGACTTGTTTAGTCGTATTGCTGATGATATAGATATCTTACTAAAATGACTCTTCAAGATAGAACTATCAAAGGTTTTTAACACGCTTTTATCTATCTATCTATGTATCAGAATCTTTTACAGTAATTTTATCAACTTGTACACAGCCATTTGACTTAAAAATTTGCAGGACCGAGGACAATAATTTTTTTACGTATACATATACATAAACACATACAAATTTTTTTTAATGACTACGAGTATTATTTTATGACAAAGTTTATCTTTAATTGAATATTTTCTTACTGATTTAGTAATTAAGCTGTCTGCCAAACTGCCAAAGGTTAACTGCACGTCTGCATATCCTAACGTTTTATTTTTAATATTGACTTTTATAGTTACCTATTAAGAATTTTTGTAAATATTTCTTAAAATTTTACATATTTTAATAGAAATATAATAGAGACGTGTAAAGATTTTATCTCTATTATATTTGTTTTTTTTTAGTATTTAAAACTGCAAATAATAGTAAAATAAGCTATAAATTATTTTTTATAATAGTACAACGCTTTTATATATTGTATGATTAAAAAAATATTTGTTGTTTTATTTTTCTACATGTTGAATAAGTTTTAAATAATAAATATGTTATTCATTTATTTCAACTAAATTACAATTGATTAATTCACCCATGAAATACCAAGTGCAAAAAATTCTTGAACACAATGCCAGGTTATAAAAAAATATTTGCCTTTTGTTTGGCGTTAATCTCGTTCCCTACACTATCCTATACTTGTTTGTCTATGTCTATATTCGAACAGTTTTATCTAAGGTCGCTATAAAGTTCAAGGAAACTGATTATATGACCGCGGCGCACAACGAAACTAGAGTTAAGTAAACTGTTTACATTCATCATAACAAGTTAGAGGCCACCAGAATAGTAAAAAACATTGAATCCCAAAACTTCAGGGAGCAATTCTCGTACATATAATGTGTATTTATATATTTATGTAATTTGTTTCTCCTTAACGGCTGTAACGATGTGGATTAAAATCTGTTAATATAATGTTATATATAAATTAAAAATATATTGATTTCTGTAAAGATTTTTAATCGTGTTATGGATGTCATAACAGGTGACAGAGGGAATCAAATCAAGGGATGGGCAGGGCCATCGTAATAACTATTATAAAATAAAAAACTGCGTTTGTCATCTCACATGCCAAGAGTGTCAAATTTTTTGACAAATACACTGCTTACCAGGCACCTACCTACCTAGGCAATTTTTTTCTTTTTTTTTAAGCGTCAACGGCTGTAATAAAGTGATAAATTAAAGAAAAAATTAATTTTTTTAAATTTATCAAACTAGGTGTCATCCCTTAAGGCCTATTTCTTTTTTTAACGCTGAATAAAACTCGGTCGCTCAGTTACTTGTTACACAATATTTAATAGGTAATTTATGATGATTGTGATATTATATAGATATCGTTGTGTCAAATTTTAATCGCTAATCTATTTGATTGAAGCCAATATTTTTCGAATAAGGAAGGGAATCTGAGGAACATCCGAACAACCATAAAGCACAACCTTTGTGATATATGCTGTTGTATGAAAGTTGGTCTTAAAAAGCATGATTTCAATAATCAGAGGCACCAATAGCCACATAGTTATTACCAGAAAAAAGGTTAAGCTTAAAATTTCATAAGCATACTGTGGTTGATAGACAATCCGCTACTGTGCAATTTTCCGGAAGTTTTCTGCCTCGCACGATTATCTTCAATCTATTTCTCGTTTTTTCTTAGATTATATAAATCGCGAAAAACACTGAGAAATTGTTAAAAAATTCCTTCCTTCCTTAAAATCCTGCAACGAACCTGCATTCCTTGTGTTTATTAAAAATGTTAATGAGTTTCGGGTGGTAAATTGCTATTACTGTTGCGTTGACTCCTCGTTAAAAACCCAGATTTTACAGACTACAAAGTTTCGAGAAGGAAGTGCACAATAGAAAACCTGAATTACGTAATAGGAATACCATCTAATTTTTACAAAAATGCTTTAACCACAGTCAGATAAATACTATCAATTGTACTATCAACTAGGTTTTTACCCGCGACTTCACCCACTAGGGATTTAGAAACATCACCAAATTTAGCAAAATTGGATCTCTTGTAGAAGAGTCACCTCGGTATGAGTCTATATTGGAAGCAGAAGATTGAAATTTGGCTATGGAATATGCTACAGAAACGCATAAGTGAGCTTATATAAATTGCATTAATTTCATACATCTAGCAACCCCTTTTTTATATCGGGCATATCTTTCAATGTGTCTTTATGAACGGTAAATAGTCTAAGTACGTTATTCACATTTATTTATAATTAAAGTTAATATAGTTTTGACAAAATAATGTTGAATTTAATAGTATTTTATTAATATCCGGCATAGTGTTTATTTGCGATATTCGATTCAAATCATTGACCCCATTGAATATTGATTGGCACCATAAAATAGATACTGGTATTTTTTAGGTTCGAGTAGACTGAAATTTTATAAATGTAGTTCATTTTACAGGATTAGAAATGTACAGAAGATGGCAGCAGTCTCTTCCTGATGACAACTCATATTATTTGAGACGCCAGAATATGGCGTTTGGACAGACGAGGGGCTATCAATATCAAGAAGTAGCAATGTTATGTTTAGTTGTTAATATCGCCAAACGGTCAAGCTATATCGTGATATAGTCACCAAATAGTGTTTAATGTAAAATTCACGCAATGATCGACTACTTTATGATATTATCAACTCTAAGACTTGGTCAATACATATATAAAATATCTTTATTTAAACTATAAGGAAAATAAGAGTTTTGCAATAATTTCAGTTTTTATCAGTTTATTTACTGATAAAAAAACTAATACATACTAAAACTTATTACAGATTAGAAATTAAACTAAGAAATATGTCAGATTTTATAATTTTCGTTTGATGTCACTATCATCTATTTAAGTAGTAATTAGTTAGGTACTTAAAAAACTTATTTATTGCTTTTTATTCCTACTATAATTAAATAAATGATGTGTGTAGATGAACGTTACAATTTTGAAATCAATTATGAATTTATTAATTTAAACATATAAATGCAAGTTATTAATTTTATTTAATTTATTAGTAACTGGAGGCAAAATGTTACTACTGTTTGTATTTTACGTTAGATAGCACTGTTGTGAAAAAGTGAAACGTACAACATTTTATTACGCAACGGTTAAAACTAATTTTAGACTTTTTCATAAATATTTTATTTATTTAAAAAAACACATCAATCATATAAAGTAGAAATAACATCTTGAGAAAAAGAAATACTTGACCCTCCTTTTTTGAAATTCCGAAATTAGATAAAAAAGTAGCATATAAATTGCCCTGGGTTCAAAACTACCTATTCGCAAATTGTAGTTCTGCATGAATCGTGAATATATCGCCAACAGACAGACAGAAAGACAGACAAAAGTTCTAAAAACCTCTAATTTGTCTTCAATGTTCAAATCTTCAAATAAACAAAGGTGCTTAGTCCCCTGGACTTGTTTTTTTTTTAGAAAATATTACAAATACGGACATTACAGATACGACTTTTCTAAAGATTTATTATATGTGTATAGATTATAAAATTCAGTTAGTTTGTAATTTCTTCCTATTTATTCCTGAGATATGCTACTACCTAGCCACGCTAGCTATGAACGTAAGCCCGATGACACCTATTACTTAAAGTTCAAAAAACTTTCCTAGCTTGAGTTTAATTTTTTTAATTCAATATCAATAATTAGCGATGGTGCTGGCTTATTTAAGGCAATTTCTTATTTGTTGTATGGAAATTAAGTATCAACTAGGTAAATTCGGGAGCAAATTAAGGATTACGTTATTGCGGTAATTTTTTTTGTTTATTTAAAAACGTACTTACACACAAATTGACATCCCCAAAATCAAAGCTTAAGAGTTGAGAACTTAGAACGTGGGGAGAAATATGTATGTACAAATGAGATGGCCAAAATGTGCCCCGAGCTGTACAAAAATAAGACTATTGCTATTAATTTTAATAAAATAAAAAAATGAGTAACTATTAACATTTCAAAGCAAGTGTTGAAAAATAATCAAGTTTAAAAGTGTTTAAAGTGATTTCCTCTCTTTGAAGTCACTCTATCGCACCTTTAATGTGGCCATGTAATACCTAAAAAGATCTGAGTAGGGAAAAAACAATAGCTAAACTCATAAAAATAATTTATTTATGATATGCTATGTATAGAAACAAGCCTTCAATTAATGAATTAATACGTCAAAATAATCAAAATACACTAAAGGATAGGATTTTATTTATTTGTTAATACAGCAACATCTTAAACTTGTAGCGTTACGTTATAGGATAGGGTTATTTTACTTTAGTACTTGCAACACTGAATCCGCACGTCAAACATCAGAACAGTCAGTGTCAGTCGGTATATGATATATGTACGCTTTTCCTTCGTATTTGTGTTTTATCGTATTTTATTTTTATTTAATAAGTGCCGTAGCCCCACGCGAGTGCTCCACTAATTATAAACTGATCCACCTAGATCCACCATAGATGCTACCCTATGCTTAGGATACTACAATTAATAAAATTAAGTTCATACCCAAGCATACCACTGCTAGACTTCAAGATAGTGTGAGAGCTCATACTACGTAAATGGAAGCAAAAATTAATATTTAAAAGCGAAAAAACAATTTCATTGGTGCCGTCGTGGATTGAACACGAGTAGCTAGCACACACTGAAATTGAAAAAAAAAATTAAACAGCGTAAACCAAAGAGAAGCAAGAAATATTTGTTGCTTTTA